CGGGCACGATCACGTTCACGTTCGGCTTGACGTGCGCCAGCAGCTCCTTGACGAAGTCGCGGCCGTGCGCGCGCCGCGCCGCGATCTCCAGCAGGGAGCCGAAGTGCGGCTTGCCGTAGCGATGGCGCGGGTCCACGCGCCCGCTGCGCAGCAGGCGACGGAAGGCCTCCAGGTCGTTGCGGTCCAGCGCCGCCACCGCCGCCTCCTGGTCCGACGCCGGCTCCGCCTCCTCTGCGCCTGCGCACACGCCGCCGTCAAAGATCGCCATTCATCTCCACTTTGTATCTACCACGTTCGGCAACTCCCGTGACATTGACACTCGGAGTGATTCATTAGTGATTCCTGGCGCGACAACTGCTTAGGAGCCGGTCCGGATGGCCGCGATCGCTAAGGCATTAGTGTCGTAGCGATCTTGGACCGAAGACTCGCGGGTTCGAGTCCAGCCTCAGCCATGGTTGTATCGTGTTCGTTCTTCCACCCCCTATCATCATATCGGGGCATTCTAAAGTTACCATACCGTTACAAAGGAATAGTGGTCGCTAATGACCTAGACGTTGATGCGACCTTAAAGAATAACGAGAAAACCTGCTTAGGTTATTAGTTCAGTAGGTGTTGTGTATGGGTTTTCCTTGAGAGGTGGCGGGGTTGTTCCCCCCTGGATGGCGCGTGCCGGCGCCATCCTACTCGTCGGGTTGCGGGTTTTTTCCCAACCAGGTATCTCTCACCAGCAGCGCACAGCCTATCCAGGACAAGTTCTAAGCTCTCGACTGGTCTTCCGGCTATATATGTGTGTAGTAGTGTAGTGCGTGTAAGTGAAAGTGTGTGAATAGTAAGAGAAGTGGATAGGGCAAAGAGGAGGAAGCATGAACGCGTGCGATCCATGGCTCCTTTCTTAGAGTTTTGCTCCGGCATTCGCCTGGTATTTATCGGAAAACTACCGAACTACCCCTTTGAAAACTTACACCATGAAAGCCACTGGGCAACATGATCACTCATCTCCTCTTTGTAAGCACAGGTGTCCGAAAGCATCCGTAAAGTTTTGTCGCCTCACACTCGGAAAACCACGTAGCCATCTAAATGAACTGTCTGAAGTCAAAAATGATATGTTCATCATCATTTATACATCCAAATAGACTAGCTAATGTGCGAATTAACCTAAAAATTTCCCCAGTATTCGTATAGTGGATTTGTCTGTATCATACAATGTGTCCGAAAGATCCTGTTATACAAAAATACTCTACATTCTATGTTAAGTTTTGTGAAGAATTTTAGGTCCAGTTTCCACACATTTAATTTTAAAAAAATCTCTATTTTTAATACTATAATTTTAAAAGGCCGAAACAATGTCGACATTTTATATGATTTGATATTTGGAAGTTTCTATTAGACCTATTTCTAAATTAGACCAATGCAATCTTTATGAGAGTGTTTCTCTCGACTCTTACAGGAAATATAGAAAGAATTGGGAGTCACTTTTCAAAAAAATAAATAAATAAAATAAAAATTTAAAAGGTGCTAGGGAGTTTCATGTAAAGTACCCTCAAATTTTAATTAATTCTTTTCAAAATCGCAGTTCCGCTTGAGTAGAGAGTCCGTTGAAGACGAATCTCGTGATGGTCGGCCATTGTACGTGATGATTATGGAAAATGTGTCGTTTGTGGAAGAACTGCTCAATGATAAACGACAGAAACTTAAAGAAATCAGTTCAGAGTTGGAGCTTTCGGTAACAACTGTTTTTGGATCATTTATGAGAAACTACTTATGACTAGGGCTACGATAGTTCGCTTCTTTCTACTACGTTTAAATATATGCATATAATAATATGTCCACCGAATAATGTTTCTCCGGTGAGATTTTTAATTGTTACAGTGCACGTTTTTACATATTTTGGGAGTCTTTATAATTCCATAACATTTAGAGCTTATCGTCAGAATTATACATATTTTGCTATTTTCACAGGAAAATATCTAAAAATGCAATTATTAATTACTTTATTGATGTAGTTACTACTTTTTACTAGTAATAATGATAATAATAATCAATAATAATAATATAATAATAATAATAATAATAATAATAATATATTTTGAGAAGCAAAAGAGAATCGTGTCCGTTTGCGATCCTTAAAATGATGACTGTTATACACTCTAATGGAAAAAATTAAGCGACCTTCAGCAACAGATCCAGCCCATAATCCAGGTGAGTTTTGTCATAATTTGCATTGTTTTGGTAGACTACAAGTAACATATATCTTCAGTGATAATTATAACGACAAAAAGAACAAACCATGATAATTGCATCAGTTTTATGAGGTTTTGTATAGTAAATATTTTCTGCGATTTTAATGCATATATATCCGTTTTGAATCTCATAATTACATACAAACTTTACATTTTTTTAATGCATAACTATCCGAGAGCTACGTATGAGAAAGGTGACTGCAGGATGTGTGTCGTGACTTCTAGACTCCGTCCAAAAGAAGCAACGAGTGACATGTTCCGGAAAGTTTTTACAGCTCTGTCAAGAGAATGAAAAAAATGTTAGAATCCATTGTCACTGGAGATGCTACAGTGGTTCATTACTACGATCCTCTTTCCAAAGGAGAGTCGATGGAGTGGCGCAAACCTGGCGAAGCACCGACGAGAAAGGTAAAGGTGCCACAGACAGGAAAAAAAATCATGGCAACAATAATTTGGGATTTCAAGGCGGATTCTCTTAATAGACTTTCAGTAAAGGTACACCGCCGTCAATTCAGTATATGATTCTTCTCTTTTGCACAAAACCCGAAGCGTAATAAAAGAAAAGAGACGAAGGATGTTGAGTTGTGGTGTTTGTCTAGTGTGTGGCAATGTCCCAGTTCACACGACTGTTTTTGCGAAGGCTGCATTAAAAGATTATAAGTTTCAAGAAGATTCAGCATACATCTTTCATCCCAGATGATGCGACAAGTGACTTTTACCTCTTCTCAAAACTAAAAAAACAACTTCGAGGAAGACAATTTTTGGACGACAATGAAGTGAAAGAAGCAGTTTTGAGCTATTTTGCAGAAAAAATTCTGACTATTTTTCCACAGATATGAAAAGATAATAAAAAGATGTGATCAGTTAGTTAAGTTAATCAGAAGATGTGAAAAGTGCATTGAAGTATAGGGAGATTATATTGAAAAAGATCACTGCTGGTTTTTTTTACTGTCGTCTGTGAAAATTCAATGGGCCGAATATTTACAATTACGTATGAGGATTATTTAGTGCACTGGCGTACACATTACTTTCATACGTCTGCCACCGGAAGAGGTGGATCAGTGCATCGACTGATGTCACTGTAGAGCCTCTGACCGGGAATATCTAGGTTTGAGTCACAACAGAGGCAAGATTTTCGGCACTAGTTTGTCAGGTAGGTTGAATTCAATCGCTGTCTGGAGAAGAAATCAAGAGACCATCATTTACAGGGTTGTCTAAAGCAGATTATTGTTAGCCAAGAGCTAGACTAACTGAATCTTCCGGAATCATTAGTTCAAACTGCGCGTTCAGAAATAATCCGTATTTTAATGAATGCATTTTTTGCTACAAAATCCCGTTCGTATGAGTCATGGAAATAAGGATACACTGCAGGGGAGTTTCATTTATCGTATGCGGCTATCTTAAGCGTGACGGTAGTTCGTTCACATTGCAGATATGCTAAAACTATTCCAAGCATTCCAATACGTCATTCCATGAGTTTTGTTAATTTCTATAAAGCTTGGGTGGTGTACAGCGTTTCATACTGATACACAGCTGCAAACCGTGGTTATAATTTATTACAGAAACGCATTCTAAAAAAATTTAATAGATTGAATGCATTGTAGACATAAAACAATTGATACTATTAAATCTCTAATTATATAGTGTGCAGAAAGTTATATTTTTTCATATGACAGTTTCACCAAAAACGCGGAGAAATAATACAACTCCCACTCCGTTCCACACGCTGGTGTCTAGTGACGTGGTTGCCAGTTTGAATATTTAAATCTCCCGGATGTAATATTTAAATTTGGGATGGCCAACCTGCGGCCCGGAGGCCGCATACGGCGGGCCACGTGAACCGCGGAGTAAATGCAATAAATATACGTTTTTCAATTTTGTTTCATTTTGTGATAAATGGTTTCCTTTAATAAAAAAATGTTTGTGCAGTCTGGCATGAATTTTCATTTTTAAAATATGGACCGACTGCTGAAAAGGCTTGTTACCCACAATTTAAACTCGATTTTTAATTCAATGTTAATTTTCAGTTTTCTCAAAGACATTTTTGTTTGTTGTACCCAAGTTGGCGGGTTCAAACCCGATCGAAGCCGTGGATTT